TGTTTTACAGTTATAATTAAATATTATGCAAATATAGAAAAGCAAAGACTTTATTATGGTGTATGAGTAATAAGAAAGCATTTTTCTAACCTCTGACTTTGTTTTACCTATGTGATCGAATGTTGTTGTTGTGTGCCATCAAGTCACCTGCAACTCATTGAGTGACCCTATGTACAACAGCCCCAATCCCTGCTCTATCCTGTGCCAACCTTATTGTCTCTGACACACCTATCCGCATTACCGCAGTCACTGAATCAATCCGTCCCATTGAGGGTCTTTCTCTCCTGTGCTGTCCCTCCACCCTCCCAAGCATGACATCCCTCTCCAAGGACTGGTCCCTCCTTGCAACCTGTCCAAAGTATGTCAGACGAAGCTTCAGAATCCTTGCCTCCAAGAAGCAGCCCAGTTTCACCCTCTCCAGGATGAATCTGTTTGTTTTCCTGGCAGTCCATGGTATTTTCAATACTCTTCTCCAGCACCACAGCTTAAAGGCATCAATTCTCCTTCTCTCATTCCTAGTCATTGTCCAGCTTTCTGATGCATAACAAGTGATTGCAAAGACTATGGTCTGGACCAGGCACACCTTAGTCTCCAGACTGACATGCTGCTCTTCAGTACTTTGGAGAGGTCTCTGAGGTTGGTAATTCTGTCCAGGAGCCCAGAAAAAGAAGCTCAGATTATATTAATTAGTGTTACTGGTTTGCATGTCACAGAAACACAACCTAAACTTAAACAGAAGTGAAAATGTGTTATAAAGCCACAGGAACCTCAGGTTAGACATAGAGCTGGCGGTGTGGACTGAATCATGGCTTCCCAAGCTGTGTATTGTGGGAAAGTGATATGAGTCCATTTGTAAGTAGGCTTTTATTTGCTCCATGTCAGTGAACGGCGTGCTGTAAACCAACCACTTCTGAGTTACAAAGAAGAGCAGATTAGACACAGACGCAAAGAAACACAAATGGGAGAAGACAGACGCCACGCCACAAGACGATCTCCACACAACAGAGCAACGCTCAGTGGCGCTGTGTCGTCAGCTGAAGCGCTTTGAGGGCTGGAATCATTTCGAGGTTTGCTTACTCACGTGTGTGCTGGTCAACACTGGGAGTTGAGACTCTAACTGGGAATTCCAGCTGGAGCACGTGTCGGTTGTGTGAGCTTCTACAAAGAGTGATTATGGGGGAGAGAGAGAGAGAAGGTGAGTGCAGGAGAGGGAAGCCAGGTGGAAACCCTGGCCTTGGAAGCCCGCTGCGTCATTTCTGCTGCCTTCAGTTGTTGTTGTTGTGTGCTATCAAGTTGGAACTGACTCATAGCTGACCCTCCAGAGGGTTTTCAGACACTGTAAATCACACAGGAGGAGACTGCCCATCCTTCTCCCGTAGAGCAGCTGGTGGATTCAAACTGTGTACCTTTGGGAGTATAGCACCGCTTCTTGTAGGCCCCCAGAGGAGTGAATCTTTAGTCAAGCCCATATCCAACGGGAGGGGATGTAAATGCCGCCCTTGATAAGAGGAGTGTCAAAGGTTTGGAGAGGTTGTTTTCAAACCACAACACGGAGTTAGACGTGAAGACACAACTCCCAAGAGCATCATTATATTAGAGCTGAGCCTCTTCCTGCTTTGGCTCCAACTCAGCACAGGAGTCAGTCAGTTCCCAGCACATGACAGCCCACAGTCAGCATCCTCCTCGTCTGTGAAGAAATGTTTCCTCTCACCAGTCCCACTGAGGCTCAACTCAGAACACGTGGTCCCACGAGCACTCCACTGCCCAGAAGAAACTCCTAATGGCTTCTGACTTAAAGGGGTTTTTTTACTGCCTGGGTTCACCAAGTAACTCCTTAATTCCTTTTCCAGAAATTCTCGAGCGATGGAATCAGGACAAAGCTACAATCTCCAATCACAGTGACACAGAAGCCTGTGACAACCAGCACCAATTTTTTTTCCTTAGTTTTCTGTTTTCTACAGTATTTTTTAAAGTTCAAATTTTTTTTAAAAAGTAAGCTTTTTAATTTTATTCGTTTATTTTTTTAAACTAAGCAGGGAGCTCTGGTGGCGTAGTCCACAGGGAGTTGTGCTGTTAACCCAAAGGCAGTTTGAATCCACCCCTGGGTCCTTGGTGGGAGGACGGGCCTCCCCATGGAATTTAAAGCCTCCTGAAAACCTGTTAGAGGGTCAGCTAGCAATTGCTCCAACTCAACAACAATGGGCTTCACTTTGGGGGCTTTTAAAATTTTTTTAAAAATTTTTTTGTGTGTACCGTCAAATTGGATCTGACTGGTACAGGAGGAGATTGCCCCTCCTTCTCCAGCAGACCATCTGGTGGATTTGAACCACACATTTCTGGGATTGCAGTGCAGCTTCTTGCCACTAGGCCACCAGAGCTCCCTAAGTTTGGGGGGCTTTTTAAACAATGAAAACTAGTTAGCAATAAAAGTAGGCAGTTTGATATCTTTTTTTAAACGTGTGTGTGTGTGTGTGTGTACCGTCAAATCGGATCTGACTGGTACAGGAGGAGATTGCCCCTCCTTCTCCAGCAGAGCATCTGGTGAATTCGAACCACGTACCTCTGGGATTGCAGTGCAGCTTCTTGCCAGTAGGCCTCCAGAGCTCCCTCAGCAGTTTGATATCTTATAAAGGGAAAAACGGCATCTGATCTTTCCAGGTCTTAAAGGAATTATTTATGTTTAAGAATGACTTCATGAAAAGAGACCATTTCTAACACTGTGAGGCTGTATTTTAAGGCTTAGAATCAAGTTCTACCCTCACCAGATTTCTGCATGTTTCAAGACCTCACGACCTTTCCACTTTCCTGCTACCACCCACTGCGGTGCCTCATGCATCCGGGAACATCTCTCTTTCAAAGCCACCAGCCCTGTCAGGCTGTCCTGTGACCCTCTTTTGTAAGATGCTAATGTTTCAACATATTTTTGTAGTCTTTCACGTTAGAGGGCTGTCATGTTACAAAACCATGTATTAGTACTGGCTAAAAGCATCTGCTGTGTTAAAGGAGCTTGCTAGACTAGACACTTAAATGCCTGCTCTAACTCTGCCTTGTCTCCCACATCCACGGCTTGTGTGGCTTTGGGTTCATCACTTCCTTTGTTTAGGCCTCATGTGTTTTTCTTTTTCCATCTGCTAATGGGTGAGTCAAACTTGATGGTCCCTGAGCTCAGGTCGGGGACATCCAGAACGCAGAGGCTGATGACTCCCCCTCTCACGCTTGGCTGGCGTCCTGCCTGGTGGCTCCTCCTGAGCGCCATCCTTAGCGTGAAGAGAAAGGAGCAGAGATGGCTGATGGTTGAGGCCTCACCTCCAGGTATTTTCCAACTCAAATTGGAGCTAAGTGGTCTGAAGACAAGGAGATGGAGGTTTGTTACAAATCTAGAGAAGGCTGACCAGAGCAGATGGGTATGTGGGGTGTTGGATGGCAGAGGAGGGGATAGTGAGGGCCAGTGATCAAGGACAGTCATGGAAGATGACTCCCAGGAATAGGCCACACAAGGTACCACAGATCTGGGACGCTGGAATGAACTGTTGTTGAAGTTGTTATGTGCCGTCAAGTCGCCTGCGACTCATAGCGACCCTATGTACAACAGCCCTAAACTCCGCTCTGTCCTGTGCCAATCGCACTGTCTCTGACACTCCCATCCCAGTTATCCCAGTCACTGAATCAATCCACCTCATAGAGGGCCTTCCTCTCCTGCGCTGTCCCTCCACCCTCCCAAGCATGATGTCCCTCTCCAAGGACCGGTCTCTCCTCACTACATGTCTGAAGTAAGTTAGACGGAGCCTCAGAATCCTTGCCTCCAAGGAGCCACCCGGTTTAACCCTCTCCAGGACAAATCTGTTTGTTTTCCTAGCAGTCCATGGTATTCTCAATACTCTTCTCCAGCACCACAGCTCAAAGGCATCAGTTCTCCTTCTATCCTCCTTGGTCATTGTCCAACTCTCCTTGGTCATTGTCCAACTCTCTGATGCATAACAGATGATCTTCATGTTCTCTTCCCTGGCCGTTGGTGAATGTTCTTGGGCCTAGAGCTTGGCTCTGGGGTGAGATTGAGTTCAACAAAGCTGTTACCCATTCTGGCTCCACCTCACCTCAGGAAACGCCTGGCCACAGTGACCACATCCTCTCAGGTTGTCGTGGAAACATTCTGTGTGGGCCTGGGGAGCTGGGGCAGGGTTGCCAGGCAACAGGTGGTGCCCTCCCTTCCTCTCTTATCTGAGGCCAAGTCTCTTTTACGCCTTTTAGGCAACCACTCTGCGCCCTCCTGGCACGAATACGGAAGAGCGGCTCTGAAGGGTGGCTCTGAAGGGCGAGAGAGGATCCCTGGAGCTGACTGACGGTGGGTAGAGGTGAAAGGCAGCCCTGCAGATGCCCAAGGTGCTGGAGAGAGAGGGGTGGGCAGAAACAAACAGGAGGTAGAGCGGGGCCATTGGCTCTGCACAGCTGGAGAGGGAGAGACAGGTGCGGGTTGGCATTTGAGACCTGGTGTGACAGCAGGGGACGAGACTAGCCCCAGAGAGTCTGCCAGGGGCCGAGGTGGCCTGAGGAGTGGTGGGCTTGTAGGGGTGGGCCTGCAGGGGCAAGCTCTGGAGGGGAGCTTCCTCCTGAGGTAGGAACAGACCTGAGGGGAGCTTAATGAGAAGAAAAAGGCCCTGGGAGCCCTGGAGGCTTTGTTTGTAGCACCCCGGGGTTTGGAAGGGAAGTGGGGCTTCCGGAAAGTGGCGGAGGAGTCTGAGCCAGAAGCAGCTTGACTGCTGACCGCCTTAGATCTCTGCCTGCCTCCCTTTCTGGCCCCCTTGGGCCCTGTTTTACCTTTTCTGGGTCCCTGGTCTGTCAGATCAGGAGCCAGCTCCTCTCGTCTCCTCTCTCTGGCTCTCACATCGACATTTCAGCGTTCCTCTCCCTGCTTCCATTGTGCTAACTCTGCCTCCCTGGCTTTCTCTCCTGATCCCCGTGTCTCCCAGATGCCTTCAACTCCAGGGCAGCCCTCTGAGCCGATGGACGGGCCCCCGATCCCCTGTGGGCCCTGCATCCCCATCATGTTGGCTCTGGCTTCCCTGGCTGCCCTCTTCCTGGTGACCACGGCCGTGTTGGCTGAACGCCTGTTCCGCCGGTCTCGCTGCCTGGACCCCAGCAAGCGCGCCCCCACACTGGTCTGGCGTCCCGGAGGAGAGCTGTGGATTGAACCCACGGGCACCCCCCGAGAACGCTCCGAAGACTGGTACAGCTCTGCTGTCCCCTTGCTGATGGACCAGGCCCCAGAGCCCCCCACCCCCGGAGGCACCTTGGAGGCCCGAGCCACAGCCCCACCTGCCCCTCCAGCCGCTCACAGCCCTCCCAACCCTTTGGTCACCAAGACCCCACCCCAGCCCCCAGCCCGGAGCACCTTCTCTGCACCCCAGCCTTGGGAGGACAGGTCCCACACCCCAGGCATGGTGAGCTGGGCACCACCTGAGCTGAGGCCAGGTCCCACTGTGTACATGGGGAGCCCTCCAGCCCAGAGGCCGCGTCCAGGCAGCCCTGACCCCGAGTGGGGCCTTCAGCCTCGGGTCACCCTGGAGGAGATCTCAGCATTCTGGAGGCGTGAAGGTCGGACCAGCCTGGGCTTCTGAATGCCCAGCGTTGAGGAGCTGGCTGCTACATCCCAGGGACCCCTAAAAGAGGGTCCTACCACAGGACTGCCACGAGGCCACCCCAGAGGAAGAAAGCCTCTGACTTCTGGGATCTCAATTCCCCTGGACATGGATGGAGGGAAGGCTGGGTGTGGACAGAGCCTGGGCAGCAGGGGCTGCATCCGAGGACCTGTGCTTAGCTGCCCAGAGCAGTAGCTCAGGGAACTGGGTTGAAGGTGACTCTGGGCCAGAGCCTCTAAGACCACTTTCCAAATTATGAACTTGAGAGGAAATGGCACCAGCTCCAGACACCCGTCAGTCTTCCTCCGGTGTGCACCTAAGGTCCCGCCTATCAGAGTAAGGAGCCCTGTGGTTGCTGAAAGAAGCTCTGGTGGCCTAGTGGGTAAGGAGTTTCACTGCCAACACAAAGGCAGGCGGTTCAAGTCCACAAGCTGCTCTATGGCAGAAAGATGGGCTATCTCCTCTTGTGTGATTTAAAGCCTGGGAAAACCCACTAGAAGATCAGCTAGGAGTCAGTTCCAACAACAATAACGTGGATGTTAAAAGACAGACTGTGTGTGACAATGACAAGTACTGGTGTGCTGGCAGATGGCCAGAGTCCAGTTCCCCAAATCTGTAAATCTTGTCCTTTCCTGAAATTCATCCTTCTGCAGTCCTCTAGGAAAATCCACAAAGAGATGAACAGGCAGAGAAACATTTTATGACATAGACACTGTGGTTGTGAGCCCTGAACAGCACTGAGGAACTTGGTGAGCCTCATATCTGGAGTGGGAACCTAGAATCAGAGGTCAACAGGCCTGGACATCTCAGACTTTGTGGCAAGAAAAACTGGAGTAAGAAGAGTTGAGTTTGAACGAGTGCAGACGGGAGCACAGCTCCCCGGATGTGGCCTTCAGGTCATCTCTGAGCCCCAAGCTCGCTGCAGGAATTCACAAAGACAGGACGTGGGCTGGATCTACTGGTAACCACCTCTTACACACGGAGCCCCAAATGTCCTTGACCTTCCTAGTCCTTTGTGTTAGTTAAACTGCCCTTTGGGAGAGGAACCAGAGTGTAGGGAGAGGGGGAAGAGTTTCCATTTCCCTGGACTGACTTTTCAAACTTTAAGTCACGTATGTCAGATAGTTTCAGATAGTTTGCCACCTGTACCATTATTTCCTGTGTGTTTTTCTTTCAATCGGCTCCCTGTTTGCTTAATAAATTGACTTTAAAAGGAATTTCTTGCTATCACTTTTGTAAATGGAAAAAATCACTATCACTTACCATAAATAGAAGGTAAAAAAACATGACAGTAATCACAATGCAAACAGAGTTCTCACATACGAGGTCCGCACTGTTCCCTGCTGCACGCATTGAACCAGATACCTGGGATTTTTTTGGTTGGTTTTGTTGATTTTTCAAAAGAAAGAAGCGGGGGATGGAGATTAGTAAGCATTAGAAAAGTGTTAGATATTAAAATGCCAAACCAAACCCTTCCCCTGAATGTCCTGACAAGACGGCATGTGCCTGTGGAAGGAATAATAATCCTGCAATATTTCACACCCGCCTGGCACCCCCAGCTTCACCCACACCAAGGCCCACACACAGCTCCCTGCTCAGGTGGGTTGGGGAGCACTGGCAGCCTTGTAGAGAGGAGCCTTCCAGACCTCCCTGTGTGTGCTCTGCTCCTGATTCTGTGTTCCAGCCTGTTAAGTTTGATCCCAAATGGCACCCTGTTACTTTCTTAAATAGACTGCTTAACCGTAAGTATGGCCTGAATTTATGTGGCCATTACAACAGATTCTCAGACCGAGCAGAGAAGGAGAATGTGTGTGGGGAGGATGGCAGGGGCCAGAAATGGTAAAATGCTTAGAGTGGAGGCAGATGTGACCTCCAGCTAATAGCAATCGATTTTGTATCGCTGCTACTGTCTTGGCTGGGTTCTATCTCTATGTAGAGAGAGAGAGATCGATTGAGATATATAAATATAGAGAGATAAAGTTGTATGGAGTTGTGTTTATATACAGAGTTGTTTCTAGATATAGAATTGTTCATATATATACAGTTGTTTATATATAGTTCTTTACATGTAGTGTGTATATATAATTGCTTATACAGTTGCTTATGCATGCATATGTTTATATATAGTTGTTTATGTGTGTGTGTGTGTGTGTGTTCTGAAGGCATGCGGTTTGAGGCCACCAGCTGCTCTATGGGAGAAGGATGGTCAATCTCCTCCCATACGATTAACTGCCTCTGGGTCGGTTCCAACTCAATGGTTCATAACAACAACAATGTGGCTATATATAGTTGTAGTGTGTCTTGGTGTTGGTACCACCTCATAACTGACTCATCAGGGGGTTTTCAGAGGCAGTAAATCGCACAGGAGGAGCTGCCCATCTTTCGCCCACAAAGCAACAGAGCAGGTGGATTCAAACCCCGTGCCTTCAGAGTGTTAGCGCTGCTCCTTACCACCAGGCCACTAGAGGTTTGTTGTATAGAAAGAAGGAAAGGAAAGCTCTAGATCTATCCACTCTCTAGCTCTCTCTATGTAGCCATCTATGTCTTTGCATAGGTATTTCTCTCCATCCCTATCTGTCTGTCTCTGGAGCTCTGGTAGCCTTGTGGTAGGGAGTTTCAGCACACTCTTCCTGTCACAGGTTATTGTGATTGGTTGTTACTTGTCTGCCTTCCTCTTGGACTTTGTGAGCACCATGAGCATGGGGCTGTGTGGAGGCTTGAATGGCTGGGTTTGCTGGTACATGTAAGTAAGAATGGAGATGTGGACATACATCACTTGGTGGCCAGTCAAGGGATGAGATGATGGTTGATGAAAGTGGGGCAGGGGCTGGCAGGAGGGTAGGTGGAATTAGCGGTGGATGGGTAGCTGGAAGACTTGGTGAGTGAGCTCTTGAATGTGTGTAAGTCCCTGGTGGACTCTGGGGGACACGGAGCTTGAAAAGCCCTGAGGTACCCTGCATATTTGAGGATGGGGATTTGAAGGAGAGATGAAGCTAGAAAAGCAGATGGGAGAAGGAACTGTTGGTTTTCTCTTCTCAGCTGTTAATCTTGGTGTTTGTACTTTTCATATCCTCTATGACCACTGTGTATGAAACAGGTTAAAAGAACCATTGCCACAGAATTGATTCTAACTCTTGTTGACCCTAAAAAGCCCCCCATGGAATCAGCAATCTTTTCAATTCCTTGCCAGGAAATTCCAATAGCACTTCTTCCTCGGAAATATTTCTTGTTCTTTATTTCGGTCACTTTTTGGCCCATCTGGTCACGTTTCTGTGGTTTGATTGGTTAAAGTCACCCGCTGCCTCTGAAACAGTGAGATGAATGAGTCTCTCCTGAGGAGGTGTGAGCTTGCTCCCTGCATCAGATACAAACAGGCAGAGCTGGGATGGACCGGGGTATACTGCCAGCCACCTAGTGGGTACTGGGGGAGGTCACTCCCCTGATCTCTAGGGGCACAGTGACAAAGGGGAAGATGGAAAGATTGCACTTTTCCTGTTGCCAGTGAGCTGCTGGTGAGGCCCTCTCTGACGTCCCTAGTTCTTATACGAGCAGACCAAGCAGTGTAAAATGACCAGTCTGTATTCTGTCCTGTATTCTGTCAGTCTCTTTATTCCACGCTTTAATTTTTTCCTTTTATTGGTATTTGATGTACTTCTTTGTCTTTTCAAACTTGGAGTTCTGGAAGCATCACCCACAGCTGTTCTTTTTGCTACAGAAGGTCTGGATTGCTGTCTGGTCTAGTCTGCCCTCTTACCCAGAAGTCTCAGTTCATTTGGATTCACTTTTCTTCATTGTCTACTCATCTCCCTTCACCACTCAGCTCCTCACGCTAGAATATAAATACTATGAGGACAGCGATTTTTTTGGTTGCTTATTCGCTCTTACATATCCAGAATCTGGACTAGTGTCTGGTAACACAGCAGCACTCAATAAACATTCCCTGAAGGAGTGAGAGACACAGATTTTCAACCTCGCTCTACCACTTCACTGCTGTGTGACACTGGACAGCTCTCTTTATAAAGCCTTGGGTTCCTTGGGGGTGAAATAAAGACACTGATAGTTACCCTTCTCGGAGTGCCACCCTCTTGAACTGAGGGAGGGAGTCTCCACATGGGGCGCTGACACCCCTCGGCATGGGTTCCCTTCCCCTCGACCAGCTCATGATGGTGATCGCAGCACATCATTTTCATTTAAAAAACGATCTGATGGACACCTTTCCTACGATGGGCATGGGCTTTATGCTGGGCACAGGGCAACCTGAGGAAATGATCCAGGCCCGGTTCCAGACTCACCAGGCAAGAAGGAAGTGCGGCCAGATGGACGGAGAGTCACCAGGCGAGGTGTGAGATCCCTCCACCCCATCTGCCAGCCCCGTAGCTGCGCCCATCTCTTCTTACAGCCCTGGACTGGTCATCTCACTTGACCCCGGGAGTCTGCAGATACAGAGATACAGAACCCTCCGTCTCTACGCACCCCAGCCGACTCCACCGACACAGTTCAAGTCGTCTGGGCAGCTCCATCCACTGCTCACTGGTGTCCAGCCCTCTCATTCCCCGCCCCTC